TATATATATATATATATATATATATATATATATATATATATATATACATGATTCTATATAAATCTCTGTAAAAATGCCATATTCGCTATTGACTGTCAAGGAAAAACGGAAATATGAAGACACCAGGTGAAGCACGGAAAGAGCTCCGTTCACAGGAAATGATGTCATAACATGGAGGAGTCAAACCTTTCAGAAGAAGAGAGAACATCTCCCTTCTCCAAAAAATTACTCAGTATATTTCTGTACATTTTTTTCTAAATTGCCCCTTTGATTATTTATTTTTTTATTTATTTTTATTTATTTAGCAAAAAACTAGAAATAATTTGTAAAATCAACTGTAAATGTCTAATTAAATATACAATGCTTTTTTGGGTGATATTTTTACGGAATTATTGTGAATATCACTACAATAATGCTTTACATTAAAGTACCATCTAGAGGGTTTGTAATAAGTTGACATGATCCAGAGAATTAAATGACAGATCTACGTGGCAAATGAATGAATTGTGAAATAACTGTTTATAAACCAACCATGAGTGATTTAATGATGGTATTTTCATGTGATACATTATACAGATGTTTAAACTTTCTATGAAACTCCGCACAGAAAATACAGTGGGTACGGAAAGTATTCAGACCCCCTTAAATTTTTCACTCTTTGTTATATTGCAGCCATTTGCTAAAATCATTTAAGTTATTTTTTTTTCCTCATTAATGTACACACTGGACTGCGTTGTGAAAGAAAGTAGGCAAATTTAAGGTTTAAAGTTATCCATGTTTTGTTGGGTAGACAGCCATATAGACCTCAACAGCTAGAACATTTGTTGTGACTGAAAATTACATCACAGTCTCTTCGGCGTTGACTCTGGGATTTGATTTGGTCCATTAGACCAGCTTTCTCATTCCTGCATAATGCATAGATTTAATATAGACGCTTTAGTTGAACATGTACAGATTGTGCTTTAGTCAATATTTTGGTCCACATTTCATTTGTTAAATAAAAAGCACTTACTGTACTCTTGGAAACGGCTCTTTTCATACCTGGAAATTTGGAGCGGTTTTCCAGCTCTAATCTTTGGTGACTTGAATATAAGCGTGAAGTAGGGCGGAACGCTTTCACTGGCTTGGAAACAATATTTATTGTAGTTCTGAATGTCAGGATAACATGTTTCTATCTGGTGCTTCATGTGTAATGCAGTGGCACAGAACGTACTTCAAGACCATCTCCATCTGTGAAAACAACTACAATGAGTGTTAGGTGTACATTCCAAACCAGAAAACTAGAATTTAGTAACATTAAATACAAAATAAAAATTGTACGGCAAATGTCTTTCTTGTCCCATTTCTCCATTGAAACCACATTTTAGTGCCATTATATTTATTTGTGGTTTGCAAGAAATGCTGCTATATATGTTGCATTCATCAAATGAACCATTGTTGTTCCAGATACCGATGTTCACTTGCCTCTCTGCCCAAAGTTTTTTTTGCCATTCTGTGAATGAAAGAAGTAGTTCGACAATCTGGGAGCATAAATTGCGAGTGGTCCAGGTCATACTGACCCTAAGACAGTTGCCATATCTTTTCAAACGCCAAAGATTTACTTTCATTGAGTTCTGTATTCCATTGACTGTGTTCGACAGCTGTGTGTGTCTGAAGTACCACTGCATATTTCACCAGTAACAGTGTTGAGGACTTTTCTGATGTTTTTGGCTGTGTGCTAGTCTGCCTTTCGTGTGTTTGCCGTTCTTCAAACAAAGAAAAATGGGGGGGGGGGAAAGAATTACAAAACAAAACGAAGCCAATCTCTCTGACTCTAAATGTTTCTCTCTGTGTTGGACTCTATATTCTCTGTAGATGTGTTTTCATGCCATGGTGTTATAGTGTTTCTGAAGACCAGGTTTGTTTTTGAATATCTCGCTCGTATGTCATCTCTCCTGATTAACTAATTAAATTATATTTGTACGATGTGTATTTTTCTCTGCAGTACTGTATTGCCCTGAATAGATATCCTTGTCATATTTTGAATCATCGATTATTAAAAAATTATTTTTATATATGCTTTGAGGAGGATGTATTTTGAGCTCATTGCGTCTGTTACTTGTCTTCATATCTTTGTTTTCTGTTGTGTGGTCTGTTTGTTCATGCCATCATTGACACAACAGGGTGATTTTTGAATTCAACACGAGCGAGTGAGCTTTTCCTTGAAATTATCGAATATAAGTGTGGTTCATTATAAAAATGCCATCCATTTGATTATGTGTGTTGGAAAATACATTTTAGGCCCTGACATGGTCGATACAATTCAAAACCAAAAATTGTTTTCCAAGATGTTGGCTCATGTATTTCCAGGAAATATTTGATGTCCTAGGTTGCTATTTTGTCATTGTCAATCGATAAAGTATCCAATCAGCCGTGTTGAACTGTAATGCTGTAAATGTCAGTAATAAGTGTTCTAACTCCAGCAGAATTTATTGATCACAACTTCAGTTCATTCATGTCTGTTTCAGAGAGGTTTCAGACTCACTCTTGATGTGAACCTGGTTGTTTGCCCGTTGTAATCTTTCATGACTAAGGAGAAAAAGTTATTGTTGCTTTCTTGGCTTTCATTTAATTGATTCATTTTGTAATGTTTCATGTTGACTTTAAGTGAATTGTTTTATTTGTCTCAGACAGAACATTCTTAGCTGAAATATAACACTTTTAACATGCAGAAGAGCCTCATTCATTTTCTGTCCTGAATATAACGGTTATCAGTGGGTTGCAGTATTTTCTCATTGTAGCCAATTTCTTGTACAGTTTTATGCAAATTTCACATGGATGTTTATGACTATCTGCTGCCACAAACAATTTAGATTTTCTGTAGATAGAAATGACTGTGCAATGGAAAATAAAACGATTTAAAAATCTTTCCTGTGTTGTCTGGCTCATGGTTCTAGTTCCATGGTTCTTAAAATCGGTTCTTGATCAGAACAGTTTGTCAAACTGTCCCATTTTATTAAACATGTAAAGTGGGAACAAAATATTTATTTATTTAAATATCTTATTTGTATTCTTTATAAAGACCTTTAGGAAGAGCATACTTGTTTGCCAGTGTGCTGGCTGTGATTGGTTGGATGTTGCCTAACCACGCCCACTACAATATTGTCAGGCAAATTACATGATGGTCACAATTATATACCCATTTTGTACCTTTTTAAATATATTATTCTATTGTGACTGCTTCCTTCTTTGTTGACTAATGTTCTTATTAATTACATTATTAATGACTGATTTATAAAGGGAAACATAAGGGAACTTATTTGTCCCACTTCTGTTAAACTCACCCTTATTGATCATGGAGGTGTACTATGATCAATATTGATATAGTATCTCAAAGCAGTGAGAAGATATGAAAAGGATGCTGTTATACTATTAAAGACCACAAGGAGGGGTAGTAAGACAATGAAAAATGTTGATCAAACTGCATTGAGGCACGACTGGACTAAATGATGAAGGCGTTAAAAAAATCAGATCTAATTTGAAACAACAAAATGAAAAACTTTTTAATAAAAATCACCCCCTAGAGTATAAACATTTCTTAGTTTGAAGGAGCACATAATTATAATAGTATGCATTTATATTGGGGTGAATTCAGGTCGATTGGGACACTTTTTGCCATTGAAATGACTAGGAGTGGCCTGAATTCAATTTAATATTATGAATATGAATGTTTTCTCCAATTGCCAACTGCCATATTAAAACAGGCGCTAATTTAGTATGATTTATATATACATAATATTTAGGCTATTGAATTAGCTTAAAATATATCTTGTTTTTATTTTTATTTTAGTTTAGTAGGCCTAATTTTGTTACGTGCTTTTGTGATTTTTAATAGGTTATTTATATTTAACTTTACATTTAAGTTTAGTAATTCTAGTTTTTCTACCTAAACTTATTTGGCCTATTTCAGTTTGTACAACAACATTTTTCATTTTCGTTTACAGTTTTTACGTTTAAGTTTTTCTTCTAATTTTATTTTTAGCATGCAAAATACTGGCAATCTTAACATGATGTGTACGCTGGCTTTTTTTTCTAGCCCAAATATCTATTTTGCCCAATTTTAAGGCAGGGGGCACCATAAGACAGTAGCATAAAGTGAAAAGCGCGTGCAGCAGCTTCTGATTTAAATCCTCTTCCAGCAGCAGAGAGGAGACACGCGCTCCTGAGCAGCAGACAGACAGCAGCCTGCCGTTACCTCAACATTTACCTTCCTCGGCTTTGCCGAAAATAAAAGTCACAAAGTTTCGTTTTTTTAAGAAGCGCCATGCCAGGGTTTCAATTACCCCAAACTCTGACAAACTGACACTTTAGACAGCGTGTGCCCAGATTCAAACCGTGTCTGCTCACCAACCATCGCCTCGCTGAGGAAAACCGATCTTTTTCGCCGCCAACGCGATTACGCTGCTCAGCAAATAGTGGCAAGAAGTCTGAAACCGCATGTGCTCGTATCCAAACCGGAGAGACGCGGTTTCATTTGTCTTCAGAGAGGAAAAGAGTTGGCTTTAAGCCGGACTGACAGACACAAGGGAAGGAAGGACGGTCTCGTGAGAGCGCTGGAGAAGAGCATTGGAAATTCACGCGGTGCGTAATCACGTTTCTTCTTGGCATTACTGCTCGAACAGTTGAAATAAACGAGGGGAAAATGTAGTCTTTGTGGATGGTTATCAGTATAGCCAATTTAGACGCTAACCATTACCGGTGAATGGCTCTTTAAACACGGTGAAGGGGGGCGGTAGTTGTGGAGTATACGGCAATGCCAAGTTGAAGGGTCTCGACATTGTCAGGATTAATAAACGCTGAAGTGCTCAGCACCGTCTGTTTAACATTTATGGGCTCGTGGATATTTTCTAAACATCGCCTGCTATAAAAAGTGGAGAGAAATGCTGAATGAAGATGACATTTTGACTGGGATATTCACGTAAACCGCAGGCACACGCGCTGTCAGTCACCTGCTCACAAAGGTAAACGCAGCTTTACGTTTAAACACCGTTCAAAATGATGACCAGCGGACCCAACATCGTGTATGAATGGCTGAAAACCCTTCAGCTGTGTCAGTATGTCGAGGCTTTTGTGGATAACGGATACGACGACTTGGAAGTTTGCAAACAAATCGGAGACCCGGACTTGGATGCCATCGGTGTGTTCATTCCGCACCACCGCCAGCGGATTCACGATGCCGTGCAAAGGTTAAAAGATCACGATAAGGAGACGGCCACCGGACTTTATTTCACCCTGGAGCCGATGCCCCCGGTCTCACCTATATACACGAGTCGCATGGCAGAGCAATGCGAGTCTAGGCTGCGGGGCTCCAGGTCATGGACTGAGCAGAGCAGTGATAGAGCGGCGCGCAGCATGGGGTACACGGGGCCGTCCAGGAATCTGACGCTGGGGAACCGCAAGGAGCTGGAAGTCTACCCAAAACTGAAGCTGAAGATCATGATCAGGGATAAACTCATTAGGGACGGGATAAACCTTGCCAAGCAGCCATATTCTAATAAGGTGAGTAGCTGTGTTTACTTTTTGTCCCGCGACGGTATAAACCACGTGGTGTGCCCTTGAATCAGAAATGTGGATTGTAAACAGCCTCCGTTCGAAACACAAGCTCAGTATAAGGCTAAAACCTTGGATCTATGTGATTAGAAGGACAGGGCAGTATAGGACCGTTTGGCTTGAATGCAGGGATATGGAGGTTTGATGACTGGAACATTGCTTTAATCTGGTTTCCAAAATATGATCAATAGCCTACTGACCGATTTTAGACGCACTCTGCGTTTCTAATGGCTTTCTGGGATCAGTAGGTCAGCTAGAATTGATTGGCCTGTGCAGGAAATGCCCTCACACTGCATACATTTAACATTCAACATTGGATAATTCAAACCTGACCCATCTCCTTTTTTGTGTGTTTGAGCACTGAGGCTGGAAGTTCAAGGTGGATATAGAATCGAAGGGAGAGAGAGCCTCAGAGGGGTTGGGTGAATGTTGCAACCTTGTATTCATTACACTTTATTATAGAGATTTAATGAGGGGGGTTTTGTTAGAGGTAGTGCTGGGATTTAGATGTACAACAACTTAGTGCTCTCAGATGATCCCTGCCCTTTAAAGGGGTCATAAGATGCGATTTCAAGTTTTCCTTTCTCTTTGGGGTGTTACAAGCTGATTGTGCATAAGCTACTGTTTTGTTATTAGTTTTAGTATTTACTATTGACTGTTCAAATGCGGAGTTTTGCGCATCATGCGCGTGTGTGTGTGTGCGCGCGCGTGTGTGTGTGTGTGTGAGAGAGAGCGAGCGAGAGAGACAGCATCACATCACAGTAGAGTCAGCTGTCTTAACCGCGGCTTGTGTACACTCCGACGAGTGCTTGCGGTGTTCGGCCAATCACAATGCACTGGGTCAGCTGGCATATCAGAGCAGACTGCGCTTGTCGGAAGGAGGGACTTTGTAGAAAACGAAGCGTTTGAGAGAGGCGGGGCATAGATGACCAACAATAATGTACAGTATTTAAAAAATAATGTGTTTTTTGAACATTAAAGCATGTCAACATATTCTGTTACACCAAATACATCAAATAATGATATTTAAAAAAGCATCATATGACCCCTTTAAAATAGGTGTTTGAGTGTGCACCACAGTTTCCCCTTTGGAAAAAAAGCATCTTTCTTGTGATTTATAGTTCCCAGCAGCTGGGTAGTAAAATGACAAAATGAATTTCCAGAAAACTGCACAGCATTAGAAGCTGTAATTGTTCTACGTGTGATTCTTCATCTCTTCCATTTATTGGAATGGATTGTTGGAGATGTGCATTGTTTTGAGGATTGTACATGGTTTGCTGCATTCAACCATCCGTACTTAGAAGGTAATTTATGCTTTGGTTCAATATCTTGAATCAGAATTGGATTGGTTCATGAAAGTTGATGACATCAGTTATTATGAGGTCACGGAATGCATGGACATCCTGATTAGTCAAGACAAGACGGTAATAACATCATGTGGACATCATGTGGATATTTGAAGTCAGAACAGGTCAAATCTTACTTCCTTAAAAGAGGTTTATTCACCCAAAATTTAAAATTCTGTCATTCACTACTCATCCACATATCGTACCAAATCTGTATGACTTTCTTTTTTCTGTGGAACTAAAGAAGATATTTTGAACATTGCCGAGGTCCAAAGAGCATTGGACCCCATTGACTTTCACTGTATGGACAAAAACACTGAGACAGTTTTCAGTGTCTTTATTTTTCTCAGAAGAAAGGAGTATTAAATGACATTTTATTTTTGGGGAAATTCTGATGCCCATTTTTTCATTTAAGAAATGATCATTGATCAGAAAAAGTCCACAACTTTAAATGAGTCCACATTGTTCTAGTCTTGCGTAGCCAGACCTTCAGACTGACGGCAGAAGGTCTGGGAACCTTGGCCGCTTTGAAAGGCCAAGGACCGCCCAATAGGCCATATTACTGACAGGTAAAACAACCAATCATGTTTCTCTTTGTCCCGTGTCATGTTTAGGGGCGTGGAAATGTCCCCACAATAACAGACCAGTGTGTAAAACTCTTGGGTGTATTTTAAGGAGTCTATGCTGCGAACTTTACATATTTCACGTACTTTTGAAAATCCAGCATTTAGTTCTCTGATAAGTGCTTATGGCATTATGGCATCTTTGTTTCCAGGTGGAACTTTAAAGAACGTGATGCATACGTATTATGGAAATCCAGTAGAATTCGACCAATCAGATGGCGACTTCGAAACTCCTGAAGTGTTTCCAATTTTGTCTGCCATATGCATCAGATGTTCAGCCAACGTTCCAAAGTTCAGCATTGTTCACACCAGTTTGCATTGATTTTTATGCTTCACTGTTGTCATTTAGTGGTAAGGCATGCTGACCGTATCCCATACCTAGAACACTCAATTTTTACTTTTGTTGAAGTGGTGTAGTGTTAGGTTTGGGTATAGGGTTGGAGAAAGTTTTTGAAGAAACGGACCAAAATTGTCCTTATTCATTGGTGATGTTTCCCTCCAGAGAGCTGTTACTGTAACCACTCATTGTGCTTGTTCTGTGTTCACTGTAGATTGTCTTCTAATTTTAGCAAGATTCTGATCCTCACAAGTCAACCCAAGTATTTAAAAGGCTCATTTGATTCAGTCTGTTTAGAAAGTTCCTTGTATGTCTGTTTACTTTGAAATGATAAGCTCACAGCATATGGTCCCTCAGGCACTCAATGAACATATGCTTGGACAGAATGAACAGCACAGTTGTGTGGAGTGTTCAGTTCATTGTTGATTTATGAGACAGCAATATATTACAGTGTTAAATTAGGGAAGTAATTGTAATGTTTTTAGTTTCCATGTGATTTTGAGTTGAGAAGCATGTAGTTCTGATGTTTTATGTCAAAGCTTCATTGCTGTGGTAGATCTGTATACTAGGGCTGTGCGATTAATCGCAATCGAATCGAAACCACGATTTGAGACGTTGCGATTTGCTAATCGCAAAGCCTGCGATGTGGATGCGATATTACTCTGTTCCAGAGCATATGCATGACTGCCAGCATTGAGTTGCAGTCTTACTTGCCCTGGGCAAGAGTGAGCGCACCTCCGTCCTCTCCAATCAGCACTGCTCTAGCCAACTGCGTAAACACCCACCATTAAAAAAAAAAAGCGGGACGGGAGAGCGATGGAGTGGGATTCTGGCGTCTAGTGGGTCAGATCGATAGTTCGGCAAATTAAAACTAAAGAAAACCGTATGCAACTTAAGCTTCGAAATGATAGACAATGAACAAAAAAGGTAATTTGCAAGAGCTGCGTCACAGCGCATATCAAAAGCTCCCTCATCGGTTCTGTTTTCAGTAGTGGAGAATAAAAGATACATTCTTAGATGTTTTTGTTAGTACGTGAACTTTATCGTACACATTTTATCTCCACAACAGATTAGTTTGAAATAAGTTTATAATGCATGTTGGCTATTCCCAATTCAGAAGAGTGCACACACAGCCTGTGTCTGTGAATGCTTCTCATACTCGCTTCTCTCTGCCCCACGCGGCGCGAATCCCACGTCACGGATGAGTCGTTCATGCTTGCTGCACTGACGCGGAATGCGTGACGCGTTTGCCGCGAATGCGAGATATTCGCCTCAATCGCGTCTTTCGCGCAAGTTCAAAAATTTCAACTCGAGCAGAAAATTTGCCTAACGCGTTCTCGCGCAAGCCAATCAGCGAAGAGCTTATTGGCACGTCTGGTTGAATCAGACCATAGAAGAGAGCATTATTGCAGCCGTCTGTTATTATATAGGTCTGGAGCATAGAAAACAATTAAAATTAGTTGTAGTGGTAGTTGTATTTTATTAGCATGGCTACAGAGATGCTGCTATCAATAATAAAAAATAATAGTAATGTCAGTGTATATATACAGTAGTAAAATGTAACGCACACATTAATACAGGATCCTAATGTTATTCATCCACCTCTGGATGGTGCTGTGAACCCAGACACGCAAGTGACACGAAAAACATCCCGCAAGTAATCTAGAGCGAGTAGCGCGATGCGCATATTCGCTTTGTTTCTGGTGTGAACGCACAATTAGACTTTCTGTGATGGTTTATATTGTTTTATTCATCAGGGTAATGATGCCCATACTGTGCTGCACAGTATTGACAATATTGAGCTGAAGCTTGACTTTGCAAATCAAATCGCAATATCTGTCAAAAAAATCGCAAATTGATATTTTCCCCCAAATCGCACAACCCTACTGTATACTGCTCATGTGAGGTTTCAGTAGGCTAAATAAACTTAAAAGAGTGATGATCTATTTGTTACACTCAAGATTGGATTTCGCCATAGGGTGGAACAATCATGTCTGATTTAAAGTATTAGCTTGATGGCTTTTCAAGTTCTTATCAACCTCATGAGTGCTTAGCTACTGTATATGGTCATTGTGAAGTGGATTGTGGGAAACTGTTGTAGATTTTTTTGTGTGCAGTGCAAATGATTTACTTGTCCTTGAGGGAAAATCCGTGGTTTGCTGAATGAAGATGTCTGCTGCTGCAGCTGCTCACATGCAAACACTGATTTATTGTATGTAGACTAAACCTTGTAAAATAATCTTCTGTAAATTATTCTTATTGAAACTCTGCATTAGCTTTCCTCACCTCTCATTGGACTGTTTATCCACAAATAGATTACAATAGTTTTATGGCTTGTGCAGTAGTGGTAGTTTTGTTTACAGCTGATCTTTGAAAACTGTCTGCTATCAGCTCTTAATAGATCCTTTGACAGGCTGTGGAATGTAGTCCCCTCACACGTCAGACCATAATCCTTTTCATGACGCCTCAAATGACCTTAGGGGAGCAATAAATACCCATAATGCTTTCCTTCACTACAGAAGAGGTTTATTTATTTAATGATGTCTTATTAGTTTTACTGACATGATAGATCCGTTAATACACACCAGGGCTCCAGACAAAAAAATTGAGTAAGGAGCCATTGGCTCCTATGTGAAAAAAACT